GGTATGGAGGTAGCGGGTGTCGAAGAGATCGGCATATTCTCCATCGTTGTCGGCAGCCGGTCCGGGCCGTTGGATAACGCCTCCCCGGTCGCAGTCTTTGTTCATCTAGTGTCTATCGAAGGTGTCGAAGATATGACGAGCTTTCCAACAGAGGATTATGTAGCGCTGTGCTCTCTCTACAGTTGGACTTACACCGTCATGCCTCCAGGAATGCTCAACGTCCACGAAGCATTTGACAACATTGGCAAGAACATCGACGTCCTGCGTCCTTCTGCTAGCATCACGGATCCCCTCAGCAACGGTGGGAGGATAAAACAACGAATAGCTGCTCGTCTGCGAGATGGCTACTCACTAGTCAGGTACCGTCCTCAAACCGGTGAGCAGACAGTGGCCCTGTACAGAGGCCCCTTGACGCCGACGGTCGTACAGCCGTCCGACGCCGTAGCCAAGGCGTGCTCCAACTCTGGCCAAGACTTGCAAGTCCTGGACCGCAAGGTCGGCATCATGGACATTAGCTACTCTACTGCATGGAACTTGGGCCGAACAATGGCCCTGGGCAACCAAGCATTTGCCGCGGCCCTGTCCCGGCTGCGAGCGACGATCCATGCTCGGACTATGAAGACTTTGAAGATATCGGCCGTTCGCTCAGCCGGCGGCCAGGAGAGCTACCGCAGCCGCGCGGACGTGTTGCGTGACCTCAAAGATACCGTACATGACTTGAATAACATACACGCTGCAGCTCCAGGTTACACATCATCACCGTCTTTCCGAGCTGGTCCTCCCCAGAAACGCTGGTATCGACCACGGCTGACCCGTAGTCAAATTCCGTCTTTGCACTACAACGCTGGCAAGATCAAAGATAATTACCTCGAGGAAGCCACAAACATCGCTCTGGATCTCGGAAAGGCTACGGATGGAAGCATATACGACGAGACCAACACGCCAGTATCCACGGACTGGATGATCGTGCTGGCTTTTGTCCTGGACCGCATGTTCCTCTCGGGAGTGCCGGCGCACTACCTGATCAGCGATCCCACACACCTCCCAATAGAGACCCTGCGGTTCTTCTACATTGATCCCGGCTGGGTCGACGCCATGGTCGACGGCGCTCTCAGTCTGGCCAACCACTCGGGCGAGGACAGGGACAGAGTGGCCATTAAAGCCGCAATAAATGCCTACTTGACACATAACCCTGAGCATCAGCCAGAGTATACGCCTCAGATACCTCGCTATGGCTTCTATCTGCGGTCTGATCTTGTCTCCATGTTCCCGGATCTCAGGGTGGAAATCAAGTCGGTGTCGACCATCGGGCAAGCACCGCTATTGCGACACGAAATAGTTACCGATGGCGTCATGATGGGTCTCGTGGATCGTCAGCCAGGGCTGCCCGAGTTCAATTCATTGGTTTTTACCCAGCCACCTCACCAGCAGAGATTCGCCATCGGTTGGGAGCTCACCAAGCTGCAGGTTGACATCGACGTGCGGAAGCAACACACTATATCTGTCCCACCAGACGAAAGAGAAAAAGACGCCCTAGAGCCAGGGATTGTACTGAAGCCGACAGATGCGAACAATTGGTTCATCTGGAGCGCGGATGCCGCCTCTGGTGCCGATGACGTGCGCCTCCTGCGCCTCCCGTATTTTGCTGAACAGCAGCTGGCCTTGCTACGCGTGTGGTCAGACGAGGAGGTCTCCAAGGGCAAAAATAGGCCTTTCGACGACGACACGGCCAACTCGGCCTTGTTGGCCATGCAGCTGAGTGATCCCATCTACAGCCTCACCATCAATCTGGAAGGGAACCAGGCCACATCCGCCGCTATGCCTCCCCTAGCAGGAGGGACGGCCTTGACATCTCCCAAGAAGCCTTTCGCATTGACGTCCACTGCTCCCTCGAGCATCACGCCGCTGGCCAAGCCTGATGGGGATGAAGCGAAGGGTAGTGACGACGGCATCGCGGCCACCACCACATCAGTGAAATCCTTCTCGGTTGCTTCCCAGCTCACTCGACACGAGGATTACAAAGTTGAGTCGCATGCCCATCAAGTTAATCTAAGCCCCCACGTACGTGCCATTCCTCCATGCAGCACGAGGCAACCCTCGTCTCCGTCTCTAGCCGCGTCGGTCCTGGAAGACGCAGGCGACACTTTCGATCCGGCCAATCCGCCCAAGTATAATTGCATGGTCTATTCTATGGCAAATGAGGACAACCAGGTTGAAACTTCAGGTGACAACCGCCAACAGGATCTCATCTTCAGCATTCACGTTGAGAACAACCATAACAGCGACTACGAACTGTTGGAGCTGGACATCCGAATTGCCCTCGGTCCCGTAAACCCAAATGACCACCGACTCCTGTCCAACTACGACGGGACCGGCCCCCGGATGCTGGGCAGTCTACGATTCAACGTGCTGCCCCAGATGGACAAGAGGGCGGGCATCGATTACCTCGTTTTGAGACTTTTGCCACGGAGCGTGACCAAACTCATCGACATCAGCATGGTCCAGGATATGAGCTTCTTGCTGTGCTTGGCTCAAGTAAACAAGTTCACGCGTGACAGCCCCAGAGCAAGCGAAATTACAATCCTGACGCTGCAGACGGAGGCGATCTATAGAGTTCACCCGCACGATATGACTTTGAGTGATTCATTTGACGTGGTGCTTAGAAACACCGACGTGGAGCCGCAGACTGCGTAGTAACTGACTACAGAAGAACAGGGGGCCCCAAGTGCTTTAGATTGGTATATTTTCGAATGATGAGCTGTTCGTTGGCAAGAAAGAAAACCGGCTGTTCTATCCACGTTATACAAATGCTTCAGAGTCGTAATGTAGTCGCACCAGCTTTGGGTTCGAAATTGATGTAAAAGTATTGACTGGTGGACGATCTTCTATTTATTCAAAGTATTAAATATACGCAGCTTCGCTCGAGTTTCCCCTGCGTCTTTTTGCATGCTCCCTCAAGCGTCAAAAGGCCATGTTCTAGCCAGAACGTACTTTATAAGCCACACTCAATGCATAAAATAATAATAACAAAGGTTCGAGATGTATCATTCCCGGCCTCTTTTGTACTAAATAGCCACCAACCTGTGCGTGCCCAGGTGCAAAGACTGGCATTGACCGTCAACAAGGAATCATCGAGGGTCGCCCGGGGAGGGAGGGTCAAGATTGATGCGACGTCTGAGCAAAAGATAAGCCGTTACTATGTGGATAATATGAAATTCTACACAGTGTTGACATTGGAGAATAAAACTATCAGCGTACATGAGGAGAAGCAATTGTCTAACTGGAACCTAAGCATAAGACTGTGCTACTGGCTGCAGCCATGTGTTGAGGTTTGAAAGTGACACAAGGGGACCAAGCGGTATCGCTGGCTTATTCACTATCATTGGTTGTCGAAGCGTTAGAAATGCATCTTGACAGACGAACAGTTCATAAGCAATGCGTGCAAGCCCCCAAATTTCCACAAACAGACTAAATTGAAACGACGGACTAGCACGACCAAGGGCTAAGAACATAAAGGGTAACTCGAGCATGCCAAACTAAGGGCGTAATCTTTTGATACGCCTCCAGTCCTTTTTAAATTGCACTGTGTAGAATTCATCAAACTGGGTATCTGACAGTTGAAGCGTTGAGTCTGGGTTGCTGAGCTGGGCTCGCATGCCCTCAATGGCTTTCTTGTCGATTGACTTCCGTCTCAGTAAGCATGACTTCACACTTGGTCGTCCACTTGTTGTCCCCTGTTCCTCGGCCAGATAGCAAAATCTTGCAGCACTAGTGGTCAATACTTGAGGAAAATTCCGATTCACCGTCTTGACCGTGGTGCTCCAATTGATGTATTGATGGCAGGCAAGCCTCACGCCGACCTTGAGGACAAACTTGTCAAAATCGCAAAAGGGTTGCAGGGGCGACGTCTTCTCTTGCATCTTTTGTTGGTCTGTAAGGGCGCTCCGCGGTGGAAAACCAGCCAAAGCATTTATGGGAGCACCTCCCAGCCAGAACGGGGAGTTGAGCAAGACTTCTTGGGGGTTGTACCTGTCCTCCACGAAGGCAGTGGTTGAATGGCGCGGCACGTCATATTGGATATTTACCCGCTTGAAGTTTGGCCCGCTCAGCCTCTTGTGCCGCGATTCTCCGACCATGTTGCGTAGTCCGATGGACACGGTCGGGATGCCCATGAAGGTGAAGAGATCGATGACGCCGCTCCGGAGACCAATGGCCATTTTAAAGTACTGCTGGTTCTGGTCCTCTTGGGAGGCCCAATATAGAAAGTAGGCCTCGACATCCCTCTTGGTGACGGGCTGGGTCTTGTCAATGTTTGGTACGCTGTCCACCTTTGGGAGTTTGGTCCAATACTGCCCAATGCCGGTTATTGAACTTTCGCTTTGATATCCACACGAGATGACATTCAGCGTATGCGGGCCTATGGTGCTGGCCATCATGCCCTGCACAATTTCACGAACTACGGAAATGCCATTTCCCGTGTCAAGCTCTGGATAGACACCCTCAGGTTGGCATCCCGTGTCTCGGTCAACAACGAGGATTGTAAACCTTGTATTGTCATCGGCTTTGATGTTCCATTCCTTATCAAACAATTTTCCGAACTCGGTCCGGAGATAGTCCATAGACTCAGGGTTGAGCAGAAACATGCCTTTGAGGACGCTATCGGGGAGCCCGTTGTTAGGCTTGCTGGCGGCGTCTTGGAGAAGCCTGGTCGCGAGAGACTCGCCGTACGTCGTCACGGCGACACTTCTGATGCCTCTGCCATCGTATGGCTGTCCATTCAAGCAGCAATTGGTAAAGTCGGTTGGAGGGGAACGGGAACGAGCGATTTTCGCATAGTCCCACGAAACGAAGAAGAAGTTCTTTTTATTGTGTATGACGGACCGGCTCAGATAGTCTTGAGCGTCTTTGGTCTTGCTCCCGGCAGACACGTCTGCATCAAAGAGAACAAGCGAGTAATCTCTACTTGGCAGCAGCATCGCTGCTCGCAGATGATACATGTCTCCCCGGTGCGTAGCTGACATGAAGTAGACGGATTCTCCATTGCTGAATATTGGCGGGAGCCAGAGACTTCTTCCACTTGGCGTCGCCATCTAATCGAGGCTGACTCTTCTAGTGGTGGAGTGCGTGTTTTTTTCTGATGGAGTTCCGAGGGCCACGGATGCGATGAACGATATAATTTTATCGTCGAGTTTGAGGTTTCTCCTGCAACCATGGCCTCCCATGCTTGCTAGTTATACTTGACAGCAAAATGCAACGCGTGGTCAGCATTCTAGGCCCCAAGTGCGGTCCGAGGAAAAACACGTCCAACTTGGTGTGTGTTACCTGAACACACTACCTCGATTCTTTGTGGCAAATGAACAAGCAGATTGGGAGATGCTGCGAGCGGGCCGAGGTAGCTGTCACACCTTTGGGTTCAAGTGGGAATGCCTTTGGATGGACCATTGGGCTTACATGAATATGCAACGTCCCGTCCTGATAGATTACAGAAAAGAGGGCGTGTCGTTCGAGTGTTATGTTGACGCCGGAGGGTGCATCGTGGATAACTAGGGTTGCTTCTATGCACGATGCATCATACCGAGGTATTGGCTATAACGATGCACCCTAGCCTTAGGCGAAGGGATCGATTTCCTGTCCACAATCCTAAATTTAGAGCAAAGATTGGCCTGGGAGCAACTCGCGTGGATGTTTGACATTGGCGTGTACAGCTACTTGCTGCGATTACTTGATGAATTGAAATCGGAATTAAAACCAATAGTTCTTGCCCCGTCAGATGTGACTCGCTGAAAACATGTCTCTGGAACAAATGCTTTGCTATTATCTTTCTATGGAATACATAACCCAAAGCTCTATCAGGGGCCTCATGGTCCAGTACGGGCATGCCACTTACGCGGACGCCAACGCCTTCCTGGACGCATTTGTGCGGTATGAGCCTTTACAGGGCTTAACGGCTTGTGTTATTAACCTTGATATCCTGGGAAATTTGGGGTTTTATTCACTAAGTTGAGCACTCTCTGCAGTTATCTCTGATTCCTGGACGTCAACCCTCTGATCGGCGGACCCTAGCAGCCGCATAATTTGGAAACGTGATCAACGTTTCTCGGTCTGCCGAACCATAGAGTCGAGCGCGCAGGGCTCCTCGGCGACCGATGAGAGTCTCAAGGCGTTCCTAAACAGCGCCACTGCGCGGGGCGTGAGCAGCAGCCTCGGCGATGAACCTGTGGCGAATCTGGCCAAGTAGATCAGCAAGAGTCTGTAAGAGTTCATGATGTGGAAAGCAAATAAGATGGACGTGGTATATGACCGCGATTAGGCAGAGTATCAGGATTCGGCCTCAACCGCGACGTTTGCTAACTCTTAATCAGGTTCTTAACGCGATCAATAACGCGCAGGTGTCCGTTCACATCAAGGTCCCCAGCTTGGACATGACACCCTTCCTGACCGTCTCCCAGATCTGAGGGACGCCTACCGCCAACAGTTGGCTGCCAATACAACTTGATCAAGAAAGGTAAGAAATGAGTTCTTCATTCACTTTTTTAAATTGAGTTGAAACCCCGCCTATATTCACTATATTAATCTACGTTTGAAATAGACAAGCCTCTTTAACCCTTTCTTTCTCAATCTGAGCGCAGCACATGTGAAGAACCCGCTTATAAAAATCTGCAAAACCATGTCAACACAGTGTCAAAATGCAGTAAGAAGTGGTAATAAGCCGGGGATCAATTTACAAGCAACACCATTCTCCTTTTGGGGATTGAGGAGGCCCCCGAGTAGATGCCGACATTGTAATTTGTCTGTGCCTTCTCGCAGAGCTCAATATCCTCGAGAGCGACGTTGCGAGTGAAGCTGTAGTAAGTCTCAAACTCCTCACTGTCAGAGAGGAAGCGAGTGACGAGATAAGAACTTCAAGTATACATCATGGCCCGCTGTTTATTGTCTTCAGTCGAAGCAGGTATGGCCACGAACCCAAATATATTACGGTGATGACGACACTGGACAGACGGAACGTGGGGCAACCTTTTCTTGTCGGTCCCGATCAGGAAAGCTTTTACGCGAATGGGGCAAGGCATGATTCGGAGCCTGCAAGAGGGCAGGTAAAGATTTGTCATCTGGCTCAGGTGATGCGTTCTCTTCGTGAGAATAAGCCATAGTCGGACATCAACTTACTTTTATAAGATATGTAGCCTACAGGGCTTGCATGTGCAGTAGCAGAGCCATAATCGTTAAATTGCTGTCACTTGGCGTCTCACAGTTCACGAAATGACCATCGTCGTCGTTCCTGGGCATTCATGGTAGTCATGTGCGGATAAGTAGTATCGTATGGGCTCTCCGAGCTGGAAAATACTTTGCGAAGCTCTGGCTCCAGTCTTAGTCTCTGCTATCCGCTGCAAGACCTTGCTACGTGCTGAGCTTCTTATTCTATTGATATCCAGCCTCCGTGCTACAGATCTGCTTTCTTCTCTCCATCGAGGTTTGTCTATTATTTTCCGACTTCTTGAGAAATTCTTTTTTATTTTTGGTGTCCATTAGGACGACCACAGGTTCAATGTGTCTAGAAAGCATTCCCTTCTTTACTCTTTCAAGCACCCTTTGTGTCTTGGTGGTATACTTCTTCGTTAATGTCTGGTTACTTAGAGGAAAACCCCGACCACTGAGCAGCCGTCAAGAAAACAGTCTAACAGTGCATTGAACCTACCCAAAGAATGGTGGTCAGATCCAGATCGTTTCCAAGTAGAGAGAAGGGCCATTATCAGTCAGCTATTTGCCCCAGGGCCAACATGTCTTCCAATTCTGGCCTGACTTGGCGCAGTCTTGGATGTGTGTGAGCCATGGTAGCCTCTTCCGGCCGGTGACTATATCGTTTATGAAGTTGCTGGGTTCCTCTTCTTCATGATTTCAGGCAAAGATATGATTTTTCGTTCCTTTTTAAACGTATGTAGACATCGTGCTTTTCTAGTTGCTAAAAACCAATCTGGTTCTGCACTGGTGCTTGGATGCAGATAACACGGCTGGAGCTATGACACAAAGGGCACACTCGTCAAGGCGCCCTATTTTGACAACATTCCAGGCTTTGACAAATGTCAAAATAACCTCTTCGAAATCCATACAAAGGAAGACGGGTATGGATTTCTCCACATCAACGTCAGCGCAAGGGAGGAAGAGGCTGTTACGACTCCCTCACAAGGTATGCGGAGTGGGCAACTCGGGAAAATCAAGATCAACTCTAACCTGCTTGATACTATGGAGTTAAAGGAAGGATTAAGTGGAAGGTTATTCGTAAATGTCTGCCTCTTAAACTTCGTCAGATACGCTGTACTAAATCCCAAAGAAGTCAACAATCCACCTCAGGAATCTTCGACAGAAGCTTCAACCGAGGGCATTATGGGAACCATATTAACCCAAAGCCTGCATTCCGTTGGTCAGATATACTTTTTCCCTTCGACGGCGGTCCATACGACGTCTGATAAACCCTTCTGGTTCCAACTTACGTACTCTCCTTAAACGTCCCAGCAGACAGCCACACGTTGCGACGTATTCACTTCTATTGACCCAAAACGCTATGAGCTTTAACGTGCTACTAAGAAGTCTCTTATGAAAGAAAAAAAGGCCATTTGCTTGACGTAATGCACCAGCAGTGTTCTATATGACAATTGCCATCATGGATATGTTTTCGGAAGCGTATATTATAAAGGGCATAGGAATATCTCTCGAATCGTCGCGATGACTTCCCGGTTGCTGGTTGAATGTCGAACGTCTGCCCTGTGGGAAGAAAATATCAGGCCACCTTCAATGAAAGTTTTCTCGACGAAATTCAAGGTATCTCAAACCTGCCATTTTGTTGTTAATTCTTTCATGTTTCGCACATGTGAAGACAAAAAGCAATAACTCGCAGCACACAGTCGTGCATGTCGAATGCTAAATAGACATGAAACGCGAAAAAGTGACAGTCCAGAAATGCCCCCGTCAAATGTCAGAGAAAGGAGCTATGAGTTCAAAGGAGATAAAACTATTTTGTAGAGAGATAACAAATAGAAGAAATGACATATCAAACCTGAGTGCAGGGTAACTGCGTAACTTACATCTGGCTCTCGGCACGCGGAAACTTTACTTAACTAGGCGATTTTTTACGATGTATATCTGATTGCATGGGGAAAGTGATACCCCGTTCCAGTTAAGAAGCCAAGCTTGAGCGGTAATGATCTTGTGTAGTATTGTAGAGAGATATGACAACTTTTTATTTTCCGGAAGTTGCTCGTCAGGTTGTGCTTGCAGCTGAGGCAGCAATCAGGTTGGGATTCCCGTTTACATAGCTCTTCCTAGCTACTACCGCTATCTAAGAAGATACTAACAACTGCACAACTTTTACTTACCTTTTTCTGACTTGCATGAATACGGCTGCGATGAATGTGTCTTCGAATGGAGACGTACTTTTGAGCAATATTTTATGCCTGCCTAAATTGACCGTTAGCATTGTAACATCTAAGAGCGTAACGTTTCCAGACGCAGCTAATAAATCTAGAATGGGCCCTGACATACCCGGGCCGATACTATTTCCCTCTTGATGAGGTCATGGGAGCATGCCTCGTAGATGCCTGCCGCCTTGACGATCGGTCCTTGGACCGTCATTCCCTTTGAGTTGGCATTGCTAAAGAGGTCATGTTGAGAGCAAACTTTATTCCAGTGCCTAGATGTTTCTGATCATTCCGGGAATGAAGACGTAGAATTGAAATGTAATTCTAAGATTTTCTCTACCTTATGCCAATCCCTTTCACACTCATTTCTTCCTACGATCTAGATTAGTAGAGTTAACCACAGGAGACTGATCCATGTAGAGGCATACATGCGATTTTTTAACTAAAGATATATAAGAATTCATTATCAATAGAAGACTAATTTTTTCAACGCCATGCAGTAATCAGTCGCAGCTGCTGGGCTTCGCGTGAACCATCATCAGTCCAATAAACATGGTCAAAGCCCGACTGCAGTAGGATTTTCTTCCAATCCTGCTCCCCGGCTAGAGCATATGTCCGATGGTCATCAAAACGCCACCATCCGTCCAGCAAGCCAAAGACACAGTCTAACCATCCTAGTGGCCGCGTTAACTCCAAAAGGCATAACATACCCCCGTCCTTTCGAAGCAGCTTTTCTATATTACTACAGGACTTTCGCAGATCTCGCGTTGCGTGAATACAGTTTGCCGAAATAACCAGGTCGTACGATTGTGCAAAACGTGCCGGGGGCTCCTTCTCAATATTAAGCGTCTCAAACTCCATGTTAAATGGCTGATGCTGACCATGTCGGGAGAGAAACTTCTCCCTTGCGCTAGTGACGAGAGCAGCGGAGATGTCAGTAAAAGTGTAAGTGAAATCCATGTTACACTGCAGTAATCGATCTACCACGAGCTGTGTTGTTGCTCCCGTGCCCGCCCCAATCTCCAGAATGCGGATTTGGTGTGGCCTATCTGATGTCTTGTCGTAAGAAAAGAGACGAGTCATTAATTCGCCTAGTAATAGATTGCCTGTTCCAAACATGGGTGATTTAACATAGACATCTTCCAAGAGTTTAATCGAGGCCGCGTTTTGAAAGAGGATCTGCAGAGGGTCTACCTTGCCCGAGATGCAGTCCGCAAGGCGGGCCCCAGTAGCGTGTAACAACTTGTGGTCTGGATGATAGCTTGGGTAGTCATTCAAAATAGCCTTGTGCATATCCTCAGGGGTCCTCTCTGGGAGCGAAGACAGACCACCCAGGTAACGCTTATTCGAAACATTGATTACGCCCTCGCTTCCTAGGATGTCGAAAAAGCGATTGATCAAATTTTGGTATTTGGGCTTGAAATGGACGGAGGGGAGTTCATCCCCTACTTCCAGGCACCTTATGTCGCATCCTAGTTCCCGGAAAGCCTGCAAGATGTAGGCTAGAACCAGAGATCTTTGCCTTGGGTGTACATGTGAAAAGAAACCATGGAACCCAGCAGCCTTTATAGCTGAGGAAGTGCTGTGTGTCAAGGCGTCCAAGGCACGTGGAACTTGGCGAATAAATAGGCTTTTTGACCTAGGATCAAACGAATCGTTAAAGGAAGGGACTGTATGCTTGATATGGCCGTATTCCTGCCGAAGCGGGACCGACTCAAACCTGTCCTTGCCTACCTGGTCGGGCAAAGGGATAGTCCCAAACTGATCAGCCTGGTCCTGTGGAAAGATCGTGTTAAAGAGGGTTGAGAATGTAGAACCCTCGTTGATGTCCATGAGTTGTGAATTCTTTCCAAACATCTGCTCGATGTCTGATTGGAGTTGAATCGCAACCAGCGAGTCTAGTCCAATTGCCCCCAACGGTGTGTCCGGAGAAAGACCTTTAGGATAGTTCAAATGATTGGAAAGTAGATTCAGTAGGGCACTGCCCGGTCCCTCTGTTATTTCATCAAGGTCCATAGCTGCTTGTGATCGCGATTCCGGACTGGGAGGGCTGGAAGATGTGGACCGAGAGGAGCCTGAAATCGCGTCATATTCTGGGATCAACTGGTTATCTGAATCGATGTGACTATTGGTTGTCGTGAAACCGAAATCATCTTCTTTGATCAAAATCGATTTATTTGCACCGGAAATTGGGAGATAAGAGCTCGCGTCGTCTCCGCTGATAAACTCGGTGATGGAGCTGCCTGGTGCTCTGCCACCTGAGGTTTGTGGAACTCGATTAATTGCTTTGAGCACACGTTTCAAAGAACTAATGGCAACTTTTTGAAATTTTGCGCCAAGTATTGTCATTGACAGGATTTTGCGCTCCGCACAGAAGATGAAGATGTCACACAGGATGCCGTCGTTGTCCTTATGATCGAAGCTATACAGACCAACCCAATGTCCTTTCGTACAGGGCTCCGAGTCTTCGGGAATACTATGAGCCGTAGCGGCGTCGAAACCATTGCAAATGTACATTTCCTCAGGTGTCACACCTCCCAGGTGGTTGGCCTGGATCTCGGCTATCAGCAAAAAGTTGTCTAGTAACAAGGGGTTGAAGGGTGCGGTCGGAGTATATTGTGAGGCGATCTCAGGTTCAAGAACGTTAGCAACTGCCTCCAATCCCTTTGATACAATAGAGCGTACTCCAATATATCTGTCGTCATATCTCGCCACACTGTTTATGATTTTCTTGATAAAGTCACCTTGTACGACCGAGGCGCTGATGTCTTTGCCCAAGTCTTCGCATCGGTCGTACAGGCGACGAAGAAGTGGACGGTGTGGAGCGAGATGAGAATACGCTTCCTGCAAGGTAATGACACCCGTGGCCTGGAGTACAGAGCCTCGTTCTCTTTCATGAATGGGGTGACTCTCTACCCGGAACTGCCAAGCATCTTCTCCCAGCTTTCGTAATGTCAAACGCAAGGATTTTTGCAGGTCGAAGCCGAATGGCGCATGAAGCTTGAGATTCTTCAATTCCATCGAGGCAGAAGTTGAGATAGCGACTAACTTATGAGTCGAGAGTAAGCGAAACGCGCGGATGGCGGATTCTATGTACAAAGATGATGGAGCTAGAAGGTGCTCAAAGACTGTCCGCCCTCGAATGTGCATGGAATACTCGTCGCTATCCTGGTTGATGGAGTACTCTACTATTTGCGAACCCGCATTTTGTGTTTGCCCAATTAGGGAGACTAATTGCAGCTTTTCTTGGATAAGAGGGTGACTGACTTCCTCGTTCTGCGATTTATGGGAATGCTTAACCACAGGTAACAAGTACTGCGACTTCACAAGAGGGTGAAGTGGGAGTTCCGACGGTGCCGCAGATCTTGTCTGAGAGCGGTGATATAGCCAAAACTGAACCCGTATGCCTGAATTCCAGAGATTAACAGTCATTTCTGCTAGAGCCTTAACCGAGTCTGATTCGCCTAGTGCTGCAGGATAAAATGAATGGGTTGATAGACTGCGAGTTGGGCCATGCGTGAGGGCACGCCGCGCCATGTTGACTCCGGCAGATCCGCATCCTGCCTCAAGCCAAATGCAAGACCCAAAGCGCTGCTCAATTCTGGAAATAGCGTCGGCAAAGTAAACTGGCTCGCGGGACTGCCGAGCTACAGTCTCTGGTGTCGCGTTTACCCAGCTGTGACCAGATTTTGAACAGGGCTCAATAGCAATGGCTGGACGTTTCAACACTAGTCCTTGGATCAGCTTATGGTAGTCAGGTAGGATGCACTCTATCATCTCAGAATGAAAACCATGTGATACTGCCAAACGCCGGAACGACACGCCTCGCAAGTCAGCAGCCTTCTCGAAAGCTGTGATGGCTGCCTTTGTCCCCACGACAACGTGGCTTTGAGAAGAGTTGTAGCACGCAATTTCGACCTTGTACCCTGCAGGCATGGAGTCTGCTAGGGCTTGGACGGTTTCTTCATCTGCATCAACGTGGAGCATAGCGCCGCAATCCGCCCCCCATTTACTCTGTATGAGCGATGCCCGGCCGGAGATCAGCTTCAGTCCATCCTGCAAGCTCAGCTTACCGCTGATACAAAGAGCCGTTAATTGGCCGAGACTGTGACCAACTAAAGCATCAATCTTTAAACCAGAGTCGATCCATGACATGGCCACCGAGTATTGCAGCGAAAACAGCATGCAGTGAGCTTGAACCAAGCCCTCGACAGGCTCCGTGCCAAAAATGTCAGGGAACAAGCTAGCAAAGCCCATGGTTTGTAGTAAGCGGTCACATCTCTCCAAATGACGCTGTAACAACGCTGAACTGGCGTAAATGTCGTGGCTAAGGCGAACTCGACGGCCGGTCTGGCCAGCCAGAACGACCACCACCGGTTGTCCATTATGCTGCTTGTTTGGTGCCTGTTTGTAAGCCTGGTTGATTGGAGATTGCGACTGTAACTTGTGTTTCAATTCGTCGATAGAGCCGACAGACAATGCCAAGCGGCAACTCAAACCTTGGTCCTGGCGTTGAGCAAGATGGAATGCTGTGTTGGATAGTACTTCCTCGTCGCTGACAACATTACTCCGGTTCTCAATATACTTGAGAATACTGCGGCAATACAGTTGTAGGCCATCATGTGAGTGGGAAGTGAGCAGAATAGGATAATGGGAAGGCCGATTGAGAACCAATGACAAGCTATGATGGATTGAGGGAGGCTGGCACACAAGCATAGCAGCATTGGTGCCAGATGCGCCGTAGTTATTAACTAACGCAGCTCTGAACCGCTCCTCCCATGGCTTTGTCTGTCGAGAAATCTCAATATTATCATCGAGCAGAGGAGCTATTGCTGGGTTGAGCTCCTCAAAATTCGCCTGTGGGGGAATCAGTCGATGATGCAACATCTGCAGTATCTTGAGGAGCGCAGCTATGCCAGACGCCGCTTCACTGTGACCAATGTTACTCTTGATCGACCCGACGTGTAGCTGCCTGCAATTAGGACGACTGGTTCGTCCAAAGACGTTTCGAATGCTTTGACACTCTATTGGATCACCCTTTTGCGTCCCAGTACCGTGAGCTTCTACATATGAAATGTGTTTGGGTTTCAGGTTTGCCGACTCTAGAACTCTCTGGTATAGACTGGTCTGTGATTCCGATGAGGGAAGGGTGATGGACTTGTTTCCTTCGCTTTGATTCACAGCCGTGGCTGCTATCACGCCGAGGATAACGTCTCCATCCGCCACCGCGGACGACAGCTTCTTCAAAAGCACAAGACCGCCGCCTTCACCACGACGATAACCATTCGCTTTCGAATCAAAGGGCCGACACTCTCCCGTCGGGCTGAGAAATGAAGCTGCCGCTAGGTTTTGCTGCGTTCTGGCCTCCCTAGATATCAGATTAATGCCTCCAGCTAGGGCCATGGTGCATTCCCCTGACTGAATGGCGCGGCATGCGGTGTTAATAGCAACCCCTGAAGATGAGCACGCAGTGTCCATCACCATGGATGGCCCGGTAAGGCCGAAGAAGTGGCTTATTCGGCCGCTGGCAAAAGCACGCGCAGTACCAGTGAATGAGTACGCAGTTGGTGGGTGAGAATTCACGTTGTCCTCATAGTCGCAGGAAGAGATACCAAGGTAGCAGCCTACATCTTTGGTGGCAGAAGAAGACGGGCTAAAGTAACCTCCCGATTCTAGGGCTTCCTGCGCCAGGTGAAGGCCAAGTCGCTGTTGAGGATCCATATATTCGGCTTCCCGAGGGGACTTTCGGAAGAAAGAGCAATCAAAAAATCCGGCATCACCGATAGAGCCACGAGTTTGTTTGGTTCGAATAAATTCCCACAATTGCATTGCATTCTCAGCGCCTGGAAAGCAACACGACGACCCTATAATAGCGATGGACTGGTCAGGGTAGCTGTCGTCGGCTTTTTCACTGGCACTCAGAGATATCGGCTGAGGTAAGTTGAGTAAGAGTGATCGAGGTACACATTTAACTGGACCAAGAACAAGTAGCTGTGCGTGACTGGCATTTGCGTCAAGGGAGCTTGATATTGTTTTGTACCACTCGGCGTTTTCGACGAGGATGCATCGCAAAGCCATCTCGTGCAATTCTGTGCTATCCTCCGCTACAGTTCCATTGCAGTTGTTCCTGACCGGCACGAGAAGCCGCGAACCTTGGGGAAATTGAAGCATGGGCAGAGCCTTGCTAAGCCGCAATAGACTGAGCAGCGCGGTTCGATTACCCCCGTAGTGATAACGTCCATGAAGGTCAATACTTTTCGATATTGCACCGCACCTCTCTAGCTCAGTCACCAGGCCCAATACGTCGCGCTCGTTTGTCGTAATGGTCACGGTGGAAACGTCAGCCTGAACGCTCTTGTAGGCCTAGACAAAGGTTAACATGTTATGCCAAATTAACAAACGTATACTTTCTCTCGGCTTTCCACGTACGTCCGGATATTTGTCAAAGACGGCTTGTATGAGCTCATCATATTTTCGATCGATACCTCCCTTATCGTCGCCATCATCGCCCGGCCACCGGGCGGTGACACAGATAGTCTTCGCCGGTAAGCATGCTTCGTTGAGATCAATGTACGCCCCGCAACACAAAGCTATCCTAACAGCAACGGCTCCATATTTTGCTATTTCAGTACGTCCTGAAGCGCAGGCGAGTGCCAACGCTGTGAGAAGACCGATGCATAAGCCCTGGATGCCTCCATCGTGGAGATGATCCAGAAGCGCAGTGTGGGCATCCAGGTTTCCACACCCGTCCTCGTCCCGCGAAGAGAAATTATCCAAATACTCCATATATTCCACAATCTGGAATAGTACAGTTAATACCGCCCATTGCGTGTTTCTCGAGTCACGACTTGCTGTGGGCTGGGTGGCATTTTCCCTAACCCATTGTGATAAGTTGTCAAGAAATAGCGCCGCATCAATCTGCCCGAGAGACGGCTCTTCCCTAACAAGGCGTAGCCAGAGATCGGGTAGCTCTGAAACGGCTTCACGTAGGCATGAAAGGTCTTTGTTGTATAGAAGGCTGGACCGAATTCGTGGCAGATACGCAGCATCAGCTTGCGATATCATGGGGCCGCATATCAACAGAGATGGCGTATTTACACGCATGTTGCCTACTTGCCTATTGAAGACAAAAGTGTGTATAGAAATACAGCAGAATACTCGAGCTAATGCCTCCAACTTGTTGCCTTGACTTGAATAGAAGTTGTAATGGCTCGCAGCTGTGCTTGTTAGGAAATGAGTGAGCTTCGTTGGCATAGTCTCTGTCGGCCGTTTTGGAATGCGAGAATCATTTATTGAATCCAAACTGTTCTTCATCATGAAGTTATGCTCTAATCATGGCCCACACCCTCCACACAGGAGAGACTATGGCAGCAGCACGACTACATCAACAGGGTCGGTCAACCCATCACCCTTGTAGCCGGGCGTGGTAATCTTGCTTCCGGCCACGGATACGCTCGCCCCCGTGGGCCACGCAAATGTCCACTGGACAACCCTTGTCGGCTTGGCTTACCTTAGTAAACTGCAGGGTCTAGTTACCTGGTTCGGCGGAACCTTGCAAAGGCTATGCCTGTCAGGTGGGTTTTTGCCCCATTAGACAGGAGACTTGTGGCATATCCCGAAATCCCAGTACGGAGTAGATCAGGCGATGTTGGGTCGGTCATCCGTCCAGGAGCAAGTCGCCTTCGTACGGCAGCCGGTTATCCAACGGAATACGAGATTAAAGTCAGCGTAGCGAAATGAGCCCTACAGAAGAGAATCGAGAGTCGGTTCTGACTATACCTAGACAGATTGTGGGCCTGTCACCCGTCTCCCAGATCGCAAACAATGATAACTAATTCGGCAGCAATGTGTCGCCTGAGACAATATTATATCGCACAAGGTGCAGAATGGCATGACTAGCAAGCGGCGACCCCCGTGCCGGCCTTTGACATAGAAACCGCTTTCCCAGAAACTCTAGACGAACATTCGCCTACCGGACTGAACTGGTCAGCTCGACCAATTGTGTAATCTGGAAGCCTCATTTACCCCAGCCTATAGTCTTCCCCTGTTCCATGTCATGATTGACATACTCGCCAATTAACCGAACAGGCTCCTAAAGTGCAAGCAGAGCTCTACGCACGAGCCGCCTAAAGTGAATCCGGAGGGCTTACCCGTTCTTGCCCACGCCCTAAAAAAGGGTCTTCTTACACTTTTCGTAGTTTCTAATCACGCTATATCACTAAAGCATGACTTCATACTCCTAACTTTAATCGGATCACGCCTTATATTCACTGTGATGGATACAACTTCTCGTATATGAACCCAGGTTTTACAGATAGTCGTCCAGTGTTTTTGAACACAGCCCTTGAGTTGACAGAGAAAAGTCCTAGTAGTGTAATAATAGTTTACTTAGCCTACTATATAGACACGAGAAATTTATGCTTGAATGGGAAGGAAGGGAGAGATTGTAAGTCTTGCATATGTGCGACATTGTGATGAACTCCAGCGACAAGCCAACGACTAATCGAATACATCACAAGGACAGCACCATCCTACCCCTAGCCATCTAATATGACACACAGCCTAGTGCTGCACTGTACTCTTGACCACACTAATTTTGGTTATTTTTAAAGTCCACGTACCAAAACTTTCTGGACTTGTGTTTTTTTGGCATGTAGCGTTAGGCAGTCCGTATTTCAAGCTGAATGCAGACAGAAGCTTACGTTTAACACGCATAATGCCACTAAAGGCGTAACAGAAAATCAGGTTATAGTTAACTATCGGAGAAAGAATAGCCATTATCGAGACACGTAAATGCCCGCTTTTGTGAACTATAATTAAGCTTATGGGCAAATGTATTCACTAGTTATTCTGTCAACGGAAGATAAGGGGATATAGTTCCTGTTCAATTAGAGCGCGTTCTTTCTGTGATATATTCTTGAAGCTTTTGGTGACCGGAGTGTGCGACAAATCGCAAGAGGCCATTGAAACTCATCAAGGCTATAATAGCGGCATTTAGCTGGCTGCTAACAGTGTTCGATGAGGTGAAAGGTGAGTTTGCAGAGTGCTGAGACTTAAGACGCCTGGCTAATATTTCGAAACATTTGCGTAGATATAGCCATTAAATATACTACAACTGAAGCTTCAGACTGGCTTTCACATGTTGGAACGGTTTGAGTTTATGAGATTACTAATTTGAATTATTGACTGAGGCGACCTACGGGCATAACCCTTCTTTCCACACTCTTGTGGTCTGTACTCGGGGTCACATCGTAGTCTTCTTCGACATGTACAATTACCATTGGAAGGCACAGTAACTGAAAAAAGCAACGTAGTAATTGCCTCAATCTCACACATGCCTGAGCAAACAATTACGCCCGGAACTGCCGATTTGAAATGTACCATTGGTGGCTATGTTCCAGCCAAGAGGTTCAAGCGTTGAGTTGACCAAAGCAATGGCCCACCCCCTCAATGATCAGCCTATTAAGTAGTATTTTATTGTACAAGGTTTCATCCCATGCAAAGTGGCTCTATCACGCGAGTGACAGATAGCAGTGCTTGGAACTAAACACCTCTATGTCCTGAAACGAAGCGGGGCGTCCTAAAGATCAAGAATCGTGTGTGCAAGTTTGTGCATGGACCGACATTAATCGTCTTGGCCCATATCATAGTAAAAGAACGGGGTGTGGCTATTGGGAAACGTTAAGGTGCTATATCTGTTCCACTAAGAAAGTGTGGTCTCGCAAGGCAAAACTTGGCGAGTAATCATGCCATGCATTTGGAATCACGTCAAGGCTCAATGTAACCTGCCTTAACAGACAAGGATTCGCATAGAAATTCAATTTGGCATGAATTAACCCTTATGCGCCTTTTGGAAGATTAGTCAAGGCCTTGGTAAAATCTCAGTGTCCTGTGCTAGGTGAGGCGTGGGCATCTGTTGGTGAAATCTCGCTGCAGTTGGGTAAACTCGAACGTGGAGAGAGAGGCCTGAAACAAGGAACACAATATTCAATAACTTGTGCTACAGAGACTTGAATTAGGTGCCGCATATATGGTTTCCTGCACGATAGGCCGATAGAGAGAAAGTTATCGGGGCGTCTCTCCTTTTACTACTACTTGCGCCCTTTGCTGCGTTAAGTTATATAGAATTCGGTGCTAAAATACTTGGTCCATTCTAGTCTGAGCTATCCTGTTTGCCTCGAAAACCTCGTGTCCGATATCACTTTTACGAGTTTTGAAACTCTGGCTCCTTTGAAGACCCCTCATCTTTTCCCCTCGAGAAATGTCTAATTAAATATGTGCAGAAATGCATGTTCATATACTTTTTGTCTTTTTGGCTTCTTCCTGCTCGCTCTCAAAACGGCGAACGTACCACAAACAGAGCGCATATGACCCATCTAGCAAGAGAAAAATGGAAACAAACCAAATGTAAAGGGGAGAGCCCATATACTCATGGTCTTGTCTCCAATATTGGTATCTCAAAACGTCCTGTGGGATAAGAACAAGAGAACCGAAAAACCGACAGAACCTGTGTAGTGGACGTATTGTGAGAAGTCAAATTTATTTGGTGTGTCTTTGCAGGGCGAGGTTAACCTACCATAGGAAATATGAGGCCCCTCGCGATGAACCACGGCAAAGTAGTTGACAGAGAGCTCCGACGCTTAGGAGAAGCTGACAACCATATGCGCTGAAAGCCTGGGCGTGAGAGGGCCCAATTTGCAAAGCCAGTGCCAAATGGGCCGTTGTCCATGCCGCTATACAGATAACGAAGATGAAGGGCAAATTTCGACGAACCAGCGGGGCATGTGTCCACTCTCTTTCTGCATTCTTAACCGCAGTGTACATGACACCACAGTTTAGCATGAGTCCAAAATAGTGAGTGAACTTGTCCTGCCTACTACCAAAGGGGTAGATCACAGCGTAGGTCAATTCCCAAGCAAAGTTACAGCATAATGGCATCAACGCCATTCCGTAGGTTCGATCCTTGAGAGACTTATAAATCATCCCAGCATAGTTCGTCGTCCATCCCAGGCCCATGAGCAGCTTACATGTATCAGCAATCCAGGCTACTTCCCGGTAGCCAGGCGGTGCACGAGATATGTCAGCAACGTTCATTGCGTGTATCAATCGATCCTGACGTTTTTTGAGGGGTAGTCAGAGGGGCAAGAAAAGAACCGAAAATGAAGAAACAGCAAGGGACTGATGGGTAAGCGTTACGAGGTGGTGCTAATATATCCAACATTAAGGACCCTTCCTTTCTCCAGCTCGTGCCCCGCGGACTCAAACGTAGGGCTGAAATGATACCCTGATGCATGATAGACATTTGCTATTACTCTAGGTAGTGTGGGGTATTCACCCTGATAGTCACATCATTCTCTCTTGTAAGCGAGGTGGTGGAAACTGCGCAACGAAGCGGCACAGCAAGCATCACAACGGACAGTCCGAGAAAAATAGCAAGGTGTTCGGTGGGAGCGAGACACGCGGGTTGGCGAAAATGCCTCTGATGCCTTGTTGTCTGCCTATTCCTGTCGCCAAACACTCCGTCTAGGAAGACTGAGTTCCAAGGCTAAATTCGGCTGAAGCGGCCGGGGCCGGACTGATCGCGTAAGACGGCCATATTATACGCCCAGCGCCCAGACCGGGCCTAACATGGGTACACCCTTGACATGTATTGACATGGACATGGTTACGGGGAAAATAGCACTTTGGCACCATATATCATGCCACGCGGCTGAAGTTCCCACGTACTCGGCACTCGGTACGGGTGCCTTGTGAGGGGGATGAAACCTGTTGAGTCCCGTCAGTTGGCATACTGCGGCTCGTTCATATTCCTTGACACGACAATACACCGCACTTTGTTCTCGGTAGAGACAACAGCGAGCAAGTATAGAAAGGGGTTTTCTATAATCACTAGTATAAACAATTTCTACGGTAAATGTATTTTGTCTTAAACGATCCCTGCCCAACGTCAGGCACACCCCCACGGTCATACGAGCATGGGGCCGACTCATGTGTTTTGGGGAAAGTCATTATGATGATGAATGGAACCGATTAAGATTGAAAATTGGGCCGAACACTTGTAGCCACTTCGAGGTAGACTAAGATGCTGGACTTGTGAAGACTTCGGCATGGTTGGTATCACAGCTTTCCAGGTTCAGGTACCGTGGATATATCTAGCAAGGTTGGCAAACTGATTCTACATAGATCACACCACAGTCGATATCTCAGTCCATGAATTCATCCTTTGGCTCTGTTCACATTGAGACACCAAAACATGGCAAAGAAAGCAATTACGGAAGCCACGGCGGAGAGGCCCTTGGTGCTTAATCTCCTAACTCTTTCACGCTTCGACAAATACAACCCGACATTTACAACTTTTGCAGGAGGTAAGTTTTCCTCACCCTAACATGCTATGCAAACCCGCGCTAACAAAGTCCAAACAGCATGGTCTGCATTGTTGGCTGGAGCCGGGGAGACACGCCAAGAGCATTTGGCTTTCTCTCCTCTGTTTATACTCCGCCAAACACTGTTCTGCGTTCTTGCTGCCTATCTGTTCTGTGGTGCGGGAATGGTTTGGAATGACTGGATTGACCGCGACATAGATGCCAACGTTGCGCGAACCAAGAATCGCCCTCTGGCATCTGGCAAGGTTACAACAGCCCAAGCTTTTGTATGGATGATTCTACAGGTTATTGCATCGTGTGCGGTTCTCCACGTTATGCTGGACGGTAAAGACGTGTAGGTGAAATTTCTTCCCCGAAGCACTCTCGTCGTTGAGCCCTGCTGACTATCCCCATGCCAGTCACAAGCATGTCATACCTGTTATGATTGCCTCAATGCTATACCCATTCCTCAAGCGGCCTATTGCTAAGAAACTGCACATATACCCGCAATACGTGCTCGCCTTCACCATTGCCTGGCCAGCCGTTCCAGGCAGAGCAGCCATCTGTGGGAGAGATGAATCATTTGGTGAAACTGTGCGGTATTGCCTTCCTTTATGCACCGTGGTTTTCTTCTGGACCATATATCTCAATACGGCATACAGCTATCAGGACGTGGTTGATGATCGGAAGCTGAATGTAAATTCATTCTACAACATTGCTGGCCAGCACACTCATCTAGTGTTGGTTGCGCTAGTTTGCCCAATTCTTGCCTGCTTGCCTCTATATCTCAATCAATTCCAGTCCACATGGCTATGGGTTACGTGGATGGGTGTTTGGACGGCAGCTTTTGCGGTGCAACTAGTACTTTTTGACGCCAAACAACCTTCTAGCGGAGGTGCTTTACACAAAAGCAACTTTGTTCTGGGCATATGGACAATAATTGTGTGCTCTGTTGAACTGCTATTGAAAGCTAGGGTGAGCTTTTGAAACAATGTAAATTCAATTTTGGGGAAATTGAATATGATGGCCAGACTCTAATGGACATATTTGAACATGATGCTCACGCGTCTTCTGCGCGATAGTAAATATACATGGAATTTGTAGTCTCAAAGGGACTCAATATTTGCTAGCAATTTTGAAGGCACTGATGGCAGAATAACACTTTTTGGTTTCAATGTTATTAAACCTTAAATACGCTTTGTGATAGTTGTCATGTCATCTGGGCAGCTACCCTGTAGATGACCTCAGCTTATTGGCACAAGGTTTAGATAAATGCCGTGTCTTGTCATCAATTGATCGTCCCAAATAAGGCTTGGTCACATTTAGCGAGACCCGAGTCATGATGGTGGCCAACTCGCAGCGACATCCAGAACATGAGCACAGCCGGCTACAACCCTGGCGGCTGGTACAGGCCATGTCCTGGTTCTATCAACGCCCAGCCATGTGTTCGACGTCAAATCTCTCACGGAAATCTCCTGGCCCTGCGAACACCGCCTTCCCGCCAGGCGGCACATACCGGTCCCGTCGGAGGATGCCGCGCGGCCCGTTGTGGCAAACGTTGCGCCAGTCATTTATTACCTACCCGTTGACAACTAAGTGGGCTAGCCACTTAGTTGACCACAAAACTCCGGGACAGCCATAAAACTCCGGGATACTCTTAAAGCTTTTAAAAATCTAATAATATTAATATTAAATGAAATAAATTATATAATTAAAACCTTTTAAGATATTATATTATAAATTATATTAAGAGTAATAATATATTATACTTATAAGTATTATTAATTTATTACTCT